CAACTAAATCTATGTCATAACCAAATTCATAAAATTTTTGTTTATAAAATTATCGTGTTATAATTTTTTGTATTTATAATATTAGTTATAATTTTTTTAGTAATATTTATAAATATGGGAGTTGTAAGAAAGTATACAAATGGTTGTTCGACTATAAGGTACTACGTTATTAAGTCTTTCGATTATTAAAAGTTACAAAATGACAAAAATTTCGTTGAGTCTTTCGACTATTAATAATTACAAAATAGTCATGCAACTATTCATTATGTTTCAAACCATCATTTTTCGTTAAAAAATGAAGGTATTTTGAGCTTAACGTTAATTTGTTGATTGTGGTATGATAAAATATAATTTCAAATTCTCAAACGACTATCATATCTCAATCATCATGTTAACATCTATCTTAGACAACCGTCAATTTTTAACGAAAAATGACGAGTTTAGAACATAATGAATAGTCAAATTATCATTTTATAACTTTTAATGTCGAGTGACTTACTAAAGTAATACCCTATAGTGAATGGATTATTTTTATACTTTAGCCTAAATTCTAGTATAATATATTTTTTATATTGTGGATGTTATATAATTGTATAATATTTATATTTTACTATGTAAGTAAAAAATAGTATTAATTAAAATAAAACAATTAGGATTCTATAAAATTTATAAAATTATTATTTATAATTTGATTTTATCATATTTTCATAATATTAATTTGAATTAGTACAAAATTAAAGTTGTTTTTTTAAATAATGATTAAACTTTAATCAAATTCTAATATAAAGCAAAATAATTCAGAGTCATAGAAAAATATATTTCATAGTTGTAGCATTAAAGAAGTGAGATTAGTTTTTTTGATCACTAAGAACTGAAATTTTTAATTTACTTTTTATTCTTACTAAATATTGATATTATCTAACGAAATATATAACGAAAAGATATGAAAGAGTTTTATTATAGGGTAAAATTGGCCTAATAGGCCAGGCGGCTAAAAAAATTAGCTTATTAGATCATCTACAAAATTAATTTAGGATATACGACAAATGGTATAGTACAGAAAAAACTCGTCACGTCTACATGACGAGTTTGCTCAAATAATATTTTTTTTCAAACTCATCATGTCGATGTTATGGGTTCAAAACAATATAATTTTTTATTAAATTTTATCACGTCGAAGTGATAAGTTTTAATAAAAAATATATATTTCATTACAACTCGTCAAAATAATTTTTGTGGTGCGTATTTAGGCATGGGCATGGGCCGGGTTTCGGTCAACCTATCGACCCAACAGGAAAATTTTACATCCTCCACCCGATCCAAATTTTGAGATAAAAATTGAACCCAACCCGAAATAATACATTCATTAAAAATATTATTTTTATTCAATAAAAACATGAATTTAATTGAAAAATAATATATAGAAGGGTATTATTGTCATTATCGCTAAATATACAAGGTAAAATTATATTTTTTTCCTGGATCAGATATTTTTCACCATAAACTCAAAACCGACCTGATCACAATATCTAAAAAACTGACCCGACTCAAATCCAAATTTTTTTAAATACTCAACCCGATCAGATTAGATCAGGTCAGAATCTGTCGAGTTCAAGTCTCATGCCCATCCCTAACCGTATTGGGCTAAATAAAAGTCTGTTTGTATCGGGCCAATTTCGCCCTTATTATAGAGATGATCCAACACTAACTGAACCAAAACACATTATTGGCATCAAGTATTGGGCTCAATATAGCCCCTTTCTAATTTGTATTGGTAAATTAATCAAAAACAATAATTTGTATTGGTATAGTAGAAGGAAAACTCTTCACGCCTACATGACGAGTTTGTCTAAATAATAGTTTTTCAAACTCGTCATGTCGACGTGATGAGTTTAAAAAACATAAATTTTTTATTAGATTTTGTTACGTCGAAGTGACAAGTTTTAATAAAAAAATATTTTATTAGAACTCGTCATGCCTATGCAATGAGTTACATGTCACTAAATCAAATGATGTAGTTTCCAAAATAATTTTTGTGGTGTGTATTTAAGGATGGGCATGGGTCGGGTTTTGATTAACCCGACCCAACAATAAAATTTTACATCCGCCACCGACCCGACTTTTTAATATAAAAACTGAACCCGACCCGACCCAACTCGAAACAATATATTTATTAAAAATATTATTTTTATTCAATAAAAATAGGGATTTAATTAAAATTAATATATATAGAAGGGTATTATTATAATTATCCCTAAATATACAATGTAAAATTATATATTTTTTGGATCGGGTATTTTTTACCCTAAACCCAAACCGACCCAATCAAAACATCTAAAAAAACCTGACCCGACTCAAATCCAAATTTTTTTAAAACACAATCCGATCAGATTGGATCAGATAGGAACCTGTCGAATTCAAGTCTCATGCTCATCCCTAGCCGTATTAGGCTAAATAAAAGATCCGTTTGTATCGGGCCAGTTTCACCCTTATTATAGAGAAGATCCAGCACTGCCTGAGCCGAAACACATTATTGGCATAAAGTATTGGGCTAAATATAGCCCCTTTCTAATTTGTATTGGTAAATTAATCAAAAACAATAATTTGTATTGGTAAAAGAAAACGATCCATATAAAATATTTATTATATAAAACTCTTGGTTTATTATGTGTTACGAGTTAATCAGGGATTAATTTAATTAAAAATAATTAAAAATAATGAATATTTTACAAATTATTCTTTGTTGATTGAACAAAATCAATTTAGGGTTGGTTGAACGGCAAGCAAAACACCACCACAAATTGTAACTTCAAAGGCCATTTATGCATGAATTTCTATTAAATAATAATAATAAAATATGGACCCACAGATAAAGAATCCAATGACAGACGTACACATCACTGCGGCGCCAATCACTCCTTCTCTGTGTTAAATAAAAAATATTAAATATGGACCCACGAAAGAACCCAACCAATGATAAAATTACACGTCACTGCGGCGCCAAATATTTAAAAAAATAAAATGTTAAATTTGGTTGTAGCCCCTTATAGTATACTCGAGATTAAGTTTTAATCCCTATACTTTAATTTGACATAATTTTTAGGGTGCGTTTGGTTACGGAATGTAAGATTACCAGTGAGAATGTAAGATTACCAGGGAATATGATTACTGGGAATGTTGTATTTTGTGTTTGGTTGGCTTAGCAGGAATATAAGATTACCGTGCTTTGTTAAAGGAATAAAAGATTTTTAGAATGTATATTTAATCAAATTGTCCTTATTATATATTTGTATAATATTACAAGTTGGAAAATATTTATATTTTTCTTTAAAAATTTAAATTCATAATATTTATATAATTTTTTTTACAAAATTAAAAATATAAAAAAGGTTTTAATGAAATGGTAAAATTTTATTTTAACCCCTGAACTTTATATAAAATTTTAATTATAAACTTTTTTTGTAAATCTAAAATAATTTAAGGATAAATTTATAATTTGACCTTCGTAAAATTTTTATTATTCAATTACAGAAGAATGATATTTTTGAAAAAAAAAATAAAAATTTAAGGGCATTTTAGTCCAAAACACATGTAATCCAACAATACCTATAGAAAGGGAGGTAATGACATTCCTGGTAATATACCCCAAAAATTCACTATCGGTAATCTTACATTACCGGAAATGAGATTCTCAGGCTAACCAAACGGGAGAATGTGAATTTCATTCTCATTGGAATCCCACATTCCCCCATCCAAACACCCCGTTATAGTATGTGAACTACTCATAACCACACAATCCTAAATCAAAGCACATTACATGTTTAAGCATGAATAAATTTAGGGATAGATGTATGATTTTATAAATTCAGGATAGATGTATGATTTTATATTAGAGGTTAAATTTATAAAATTTTAAGGAACAAAAATATATTATCAATAGAAAATACTTAAATTATACGATAATTTAAAATTTTTAAGAGAGAAACAACCTTTGTCAACCTTCTCGATCAATCCCTACCTGAATCCACGGCCTCATAGTTGTTGCAGCAACAACGACGCCAATCGAACCAAGATTCATTTGAGTTAATTTGATATAATTTGATTCTTTTATTAGTTCAAATATTTAACAACATCGTCTATTTCCATTAAATGTAAGAATACATATCATTATGATCAGTTAAAAACGATTTTTTTTTAAAAAAAAACCTTACATCGGAATTTTAGTTAGAATATTTAATAGCATTATTTATTTGAATTAGGATTATAATCGAGTTGAGCCTAAATAATGACAAACTCGAGTTTGAGCTCCATTCAAAAATCGTGATTTGATACTAAGCTCGAGCTCGATTGAACATCAATGCTCGAGCTCGAGCTCCATTCAAGATATAATCGAGTTATTTGAGCTCAAACTTGATTAAACTCATTTATCGATGTTGGTATGAAAGCTCAAAATTGAATAATCTAGTTCATATTCAATAGTATAAGTAGTAAGGATAGAAATTTATTTTAACAATATAAGAATATATATTAAGATTAAAAAAATCAATTAGACTCACGAGCCATTCAGTTGAGATTATGATGTTTGAATCTAATTTGACCGATAATTCGAGCTGAATTCAATAATTACCAAATCAAATTTAAATTCTTTTTGACTCAAACTCGAATAACTTGTAAGCATAGGTGTCTCATTTACACCTCTAATATGAACCAACTAATATCAAAAAGGGATCAAATAATAATAAATTAAAGGATAAAGACTAAAAACCAAACTTTATTGTAGTAAAGGGACAAAACCCATAATTTAACCCCCTCAAAAGTTCACCAACAAAGCGACCCCGTTTAGGTAAATAGAATATATTCGTTTGGGTGAAACGGCGACGTTTAGTCGCTAAAAAACTAACCGAGTGGTTAAGATGATGCCAGAAGTGCGGTTAAAAGAAGTAAATCCGTTTGGGTTTCTTCCATAAAGCGTCGGTGGAGGCTTCGCCTCTGTTTATAAAAATGAAAAATAAGAATTTTAAAAAATAAAATAAATAAATGAGAGAGAGAGAGCGCTTTCGAGGGAGAGAGAATCGCTTGATTTATAAGCCATTCAAAATCGAAGCAAAAGAGAGTCTATTTATCGAAGGAAAACAGAATTTCTTTCTGTCTTTCTTCGTTTGAACATAACAGAGAAAGAGCCACAGCCATGGCTGACTCCAACGATTCCATTCCTTTTGTTGCTGAAAAGATATATCTTGGTGGAAAGGTTTTCACCCATTCGTTTCTCTTTTACATTTCCATTCTGCATTGTTGAATTGAGTTTTTAGTTTTGGGTTGAAACGAATTTGATTCTGCAATATCGACAATTTTAACGAAATGGGTTTCACTGGATCTATGCATTCCTTACTTGGACAAATTTGTTTTTTATGCATTTTGGTAAGCTGGGGCAATTTGCATTTTAATCGTTGAATTGGTTTTCTGAGTTTTATGGGAAAATAATTTCTTTCATGAAAATGGGTGGAATTTTGAACTTAATTCCTCAATATCGAGGCTTTGACGAGATGGGTTTCATATGATCTTACTTGTTTCGTCTAATAAATGCTGGATTTTTACATATTTGGTAAGCTGGGGGAGTTACCATTTCTGGGTAATATATATATATATATATATTTGACTTTGCTATGGTAAAATCTTATTTTGTATCGGATTCGTGTTTACTTGTGTAATTCTCTGATGTTTTGTTGTTACTTTTTTCCTTGCATTTGGAATTATCTGCTTTTACTTTTGGTTTCTTTGATCGGTTGGAGATTCTTTCCTTCTTACTTTTGTTGTTGCTTGTGATGACAAAAGAGGATGTGCTAGTGGATTCTTCCAACTATTCAGTCATTGGGGTTATTAAACTTGTGTTTGCAGCTCCTTCAAGAAACCTTGGCTGTACCTTTTTCCATTGTTTTTTCACTTTTATTTATATATATTATTTTAAATGTGTATAGCTGTAAATTCACATTTTCTTACATATCAATGTCTTCTTTTAATGTGAGAGTTCCATCATCCCATGCTCTCCTTTTAGACTATATTCTCCCTTTTTTGAAGAATACAATGATTAATATCTGGAACCCCTCATTTCATATATCCGTCTTCTATTCTTTTATTTATTTTTTTAAATCTTTTACAAAGCTATGTTCAGTTGGATTTCACTAAAAGGGGATGTGTGCACATGGGATGTGCTTTTGATGAAAAAAAATTCTTCCTTTTTCAAGGGCCACATGAAACAAATGATTTGTCTTATGTAACTGAAAGCTATTGCTGCTTAACAAATTCTAACTTAGGGAACATTATGGTACTCAAAGTTTCGAATGCATCAGTTCTATATGCTTAATTGTAGTTCTTAGCTCTCTCTGTGTGTATTTCTATGCATTGGATATCTGTTCATAGTCCGTGTTCCTGAAACATCTGCCAGGAACATCGTGTACCAACGCGCTATGGTTCTGTGTCTGTTATAGTATATGGGGATCAAGACAAGCCAGCACTAATCACGTATCCTGATTTGGCATTGAACCGTGAGTACATTGCTGTCAAATACCATAGCTCCTTTGCTTCTTCCCCAGTTATATGAAGTTTTTATTCATTATACTAAATGCGAGAGAAATTCATTAGAACAGATTCATTTTTTTCTCTTAGTCGGCATTTATCTGCAAATCTGCTTTCTAACAATTACATTGTACCTTTTGTGAAACTTTTTTTTCCAGATATGTCTTGTTTCCAAGGATTGTTCTTTTGTCCAGAAGCTGCCTCCTTGCTGCTGCACAACTTCTGCATTTACCATATTAGTCCTCCTGGTCATGAGGTCTGTAAATTAGTTGGCATATTCCTGTTTGCTTTATTCTATTCTATACGGGCTATTTTATCACCTCGTAACTAACTAAATCGGTTGTTGGATTTAATTATTCACATAGTTTCCTTTCTGGCACTTTCACAAGAGTTCTTGCAGTTGGGAGCTGCTCCAATTTGTGAAAGTACTTCTCCGCATTCTGTCAACGACTTGGCTGATCAGATCCTTGAGGTTCTCAACTTTTTCGGGTAATCTTATTCTTTACTGTTTTTAAAAGACCTTTTAGTTGATGCCACCATCACGCCTTTTATAAGAGCTATCGGATTTGGTTGGTGTCAGTATTTTGGTTGAAAAGGAGTTTTAATATTTGGGATTCTTTTCAGGCTAGGTGCAGTGATGTGCATGGGAGTAACAGCGGGTGCTTACATTCTTACTCTATTTGCCGTAGGTTTCCTCGTGAAATCTTTTTGAGCAGTATATTTAAATTTTTCGATGCAAGTTCATTGACAAAGATTTTGCATCGCAGATGAAATACAGAGTACGAGTACTTGGTTTGATACTTGTATCCCCTCTATGCAGAGCACCTTCTTGGACTGAATGGTTCTATAACAAGGTTCGTTCTTAAGATTGTTGATTATAGTTAACATTATTTGTGCATAAACTTTTATCGTATAACTAAATCGACTTACAATCTGTAGGTGATGTCAAATTTGTTGTACTTTTACGGAATGTGTGGACTGCTGAAAGAGTTTTTACTTCAACGTTACTTTAGCAAGGTATCCTATCGTTTCCTTCCTAGTAAACCATCTTCCAAGTTTCTTTTTGTTATATTTTCGCTTCCCGAGTATGTTGAATAATGAGATTTCTATATATTGTAACAGGAAGCTCGTGGTACTGCTGAAATTCCCGAGTCGGATATAGTCCAAGCATGCCGAAGAGTTAGCGACTAACATTTCTTGTTCTTTTGCCACGCTTTAAACACTGAATTTCCCATAGTTGACATATTCATATTGCATGTTTGTTTTCTTAGCTGTTGGACGAGAGAGATGCATCGAATGTGAGGCGGTTTCTTGAAGCAATTAATGGGTACGATAAGAAACTGCTTCGGTATCATATCACTTGTCTGTTAAACTAAATAGATAATTTTGTAGTGATCGAATGTTTGTATTCGGAAACTTGCAGAAGACCCGATCATTCCAGTGGGCTGAAGAATCTAAGATGTCGTACCTTAATATTCGTCGGGGACAGCTCGCCTTTTCACTCCGAGGCCCTCTACATGACATCCAAGTTGGATAGAAGATTTAGTGCCTTAGTCGAGGTAAGTACTAATATTACTAATATTACCTATGTAAACATGGACGACTATAGTGTTTGATTCGTTATTACGACTCCGAACGATGCAAAAGGGATATTTTTTTCCTTTTGCAGGTCCAGGCTTGTGGATCAATGGTGACCGAAGAACAGCCGCATGCAATGCTGATACCGATGGAATACTTCTTCATGCGATACGGGTTGTACAGGCCATGCCAACTAACTGGTAGCCCGAAGAGTCCATTAAGTCCATCTTGCATCTCGCCAGAGCTTCTCTCTCCCGAAAGCATGGGCTTGAAGCTAAAACCGATAAAGACCCGTGCGTCGCTCAAAGTTTGACGGCGGATGAGATTCCTTCCATTACTCGTTTGGGGGGAGGGGGGTTTGTTTCAGTCGTCTGAAAATGAAAACCTACAAGGGTAGAGAAGCACAGTTTGTGGGAGGGTTCGGCTTTGTAGATACAGAAGCAAGAACTTAAAAGAATATAATGGGTTAACATGGTTTCATTCTTTTGTAGCAACCAATAATGGATATCCATCCCTTGAAATATATTCATTGTTTGCCTTATTTCACCTTCTTTGAGACGGAGTGTAATCGATAACACGTGTCATTATTTTATTTATTAAATAAATAATCAGACGTTACTAATATTCCAGAATGTCTTGATCATCGATTTTATACAAATTCGGATATTTTTAACAAATTATGTCACAGAAAATCATGACAAAAACAACAGTAATTTCTTGACACAGCCCGTTGCCCTTTTGTCGTTTGTATTTATGTTTCTGTAAAACAAACATATTTGGCCAATTACCCCCTCTTGTAGTTTCATCAGGAGCACGAGTATCAATGATTAAGCAGCTGAAGAAAGGGCTCTGAAATTAGGCCAACCCCCTTTTGTTTCTGACGAGAAAGCTCAGGCGGCCTCGGTTTCTGTGAAATAATAACTGATACATGTTCCTTTTATTGCATCCAAAGTACCTGAAATCTTTCTGAGCGACGAAAAGAGCTTACTTTGTAGTTTTGAATCACCAAAGGTGCAATCTTTTTCTACCAAGAGCTTTGTTTTGATGGAGAAACGTGATTTGTGTACCTCAGATTTGGGTGGTAAACTGATGATAGTTGCTGTAAGAGCAGCAAAGGATATCCCAACGAATGCTCTGGTCTGGTCTGTGACTCGTGTTGTTCGACCTGGGGACTGCATTAAGCTGCTTCTTGTTGTTCCTTCTCAATCTTCCCTCATAAAAGCACCTTTCACTTCCCTGTTTGTTTTTATAGAATTTGTTGAACAAACTTTGGGTATTGAAGGTTTCATCTTTTGGGGACTGAATAGTATTTGTTGAACAAAATTTGGATCTTGAAACCTTAAGAGAAGTTGTGGTTTATTTGCACAAATGTCCCTTTCTTCCTTTGTTGAAGCTGTTGGTTTGCTCATAAATGGCCACTTTAGCATGCATGAATCAAAAGAAAGAACATTAATCGAAATTAACCGATATTATTTTCTGGTCGAAAACATTCGAATCCTCTAGGCTAAAATCATGTTCATTGCTATAAGCTTGTTATGCAATTATCAGTTTTAGTCATTCATGATTGCTGCATCTGAAAATGTGGTTTGCTGATAACCAATTTTGATCCAATGGATTCTCATAAATGGCCACTTTAGCATGCATGAATCAAAAGAAAGAACATTAATCGAAATTAATGGACATTATTTTCTGGTCGAAAAAATTCGAATCCTCTTGGCTAAGATCATGTTCATTGCTATCAGCTTGTTATGCAATTGTCAGTTTCAGTTATTCATGATTGCTGCAGCTGAAAATGTGGTTTGTTGATATCTCATTTTGATCCAATGGATTCTCAGGCAAAAAGATATGGGAGATTTTGAGATTTACGAGTGATTGCACAACCGGTAATTGGAAGTCTATCTGGAATTAGTTCAGATACAGAACAAGATGTTTGCAGATTCATGCTCCCAAATGATTCTTCAGTTGCAAGATGTTTATGACCCAGAGAAGGTTAGCGGATTAGTTTTAGTTCTTAAGTTTTTCGTTCCTGGTATTCGGTTTTTTATGTTCATGTTTACAGATGAAGGTCAGGATGAAAATCGTTCCCGGATCGCCACACGGGATCGTTGCTACCGAAGCGAAGAAAGATCATCCAACGGGGTTATATTGGATAAGTAATATATACAATGTAAACTGTGTTCTCTTGCATGGTTTTAGCTATGTATGATCATGCAAATTACTCTAGTTGTTAGTTATAATTGCTTTCGAATCCTTTCACAGACAAAACACGAGAAAAAGCACTGCCTGAATGAGCTGCAATGCAATCTTGTCGTGATGAAGCGAACTCGGGCTGAGATTGTTCGATTGAATTTGGTTGGATCACCGTTATCGTCTGAATCAGAAACATCTCCTAGATATAGGAAAGGCAAGCATGGCCTGTTTGATGAAACTAAAGGGCCATATGTGACTCCTGTCAGCAGTCCCGAGCATGAATCGCCCCTGACTGCTACTGATGTTGGAATGTCGTCAATATCAAGTTCCGATCCAGAAGCCTTACCGTTTTTCCTCCATGGATTTTACGAGAACTCGAAGAAAGATCCTTCGTTTTCTAGTGAAGGAAGCCAAAATCCATTTGAATTGGATTCAGACTACGACAGTGAGCTAGATCCTCCTACAACAGGTTCGTTGCATCTTGGGAAGGGTTTAGAGAGATCGAATGATTCATCTATAATGTCAACGTCGAGCATTTTGTTCGAGAAATCACCAGCATTGAATCCAGAACTTGATCTCGGGGTCCTTAATCACAGACTTGAAGCTTTCTCGCAGTCAAGAAATGCTCCTCCTAGACCTCCTCCATTATGTTCAATATGTCAACACAAGACTCCTATATTCGGGCACCCTCTGAGGTCGTTCACGTATGCTGAACTGATATACGCTACCATTGGCTTTTCACAATCGAATTTCTTGGTTGAAGGCGGATTCGGTTCTGTTCATAGAGGGATCTTACCCGACAGTCAGGTCATTGCTGTGAAGCAACACAAGTTGGCTAGTTCTCAAGGTGACAGAGAATTTTGCTCGGAAGTCGAGGTTTTAAGTTGTGCACAACATCGGAATGTCATAATGCTGATCGGATTCTGCATCGAGGATGGAAAAAGACTGCTAGTATATGAATATATTTGCTATAGGTCTCTGGATTCTCATCTTTACGGTAAGTTCCCTGCTATACTATGTTACGACTTGCTTAACACGAATCCGAAACTATTGTTCCATTGCCTAACACGAGCCTATTTCTTTAATTAGTATTGATAATCACTCATTTGAGTAGACAACTTATTCATGATACGGGAAATTTTCAGGGCATCGTGGAGATACATTGCGGTGGTCTGCACGACAAAAGATTGCTGTTGGAGCAGCAAGAGGGTTGAGATACCTTCATGAAGAATGCAGAATTGGATGTATAGTACACCGTGATATGCGGCCTAACAATACACTTCTCACACATGATTTCGAACCTTTAGTATGTCGAATCTTCAAAACCATGCTCGATTTGTTGGTATCGGACCATTGCTACATATAAGCAAGTGGCTTAGCAGGGACTGCAAACTGACTATTACTTTCGGAACATTTAGGTCGGAAATTTTGGCTTGGCGAGGTGGCATCTAAACGGAGACATCGGAGTGGAAACTAGAGTAATCGGAACATTCGGGTACACCTATGTAGCTTAGTTTGCCTTATTTCTTTATCATAAAAGACGTGTAAAAACATTCTTCTTGGTAGGTATTTAGCTCCAGAATATGCCCAAACCGGTCAAGTTACTGAAAAAGCTGATGTCTACTCATTTGGGGTGGTCTTGGTAGAGTTAATCACGGAACGAATAGCTATGGACATCGATCGGCCAAAGGGACAGCAGTTTCTTACAGAATGGGTAAGAGTTTGGCTCGAGTTTATGTTACAATCATCGATGAAAGTAGATTTACTTTAGATGGTCAATGGATCACCTTCTGATTTATTGTGAATTCGGTTTTCGGACTCTTTATATTTGGAGCAGGCACGACCTTTACTCGAAAGTAATGCCATACGTGAACTTGTGACCCCCGCATGGAGAGCCGATACGCAGAGCAAGAGGCTTATGGCATGCTGCGATGTGCTTCCTTGTGCATCACACGGGATCTCGGATGTCTCAGGTTGGATAAATCAGAATTTACGTTACAAAATTCCCTTGCAAAAGACGTTCATCAGCTCATCGTCGTGTCGAAGATCATCGCGAAAGAAATAAAACCGCGAATGATCTTACCAAATGTCATCTTACAGTTTCGTGCACTGGTTGAGTCTAGTTTGTATTTTCATGTTTAACATTCACTCTTGTTTATACTGAAGGTGCTTCGGAGGTTGGAGGGGGATGTCGTCACAAATCTGAAAATCGATGATTGAATTTCCGGGATCCCAAAAAGCGTCTGCCGAGCTGATGAAACCGGTAAACCGAGGCTCGAAACGTACCTTCGCATAGTCCAGTTTTCGAACGATGTTCAATAAGTATTGGTACATGCACTGCACAAATAGAAGATATGCAGCTCATTGTTGAAACACTCCTAATTTACATCTGAGCTCCTGAAGGATTGAAATATTAACAGAATTTACATCAATTTTTACACATACTTCGAGTTGATTTGGTAGAAGAGGATTAAATCAACTAGAAAATAAAAAGGGAAATTGCATAAAGGATCCAAGTGACTCCAAACTTTAGCATAATCACAACAATCTATTAGTACCTTCATCTGCAAGATCATAAAACAGGGTTAGCAATGCATGCAGAAGAATTTTTCTTCAGGTAGGAAAAAGGAAATGATAATTTAGACGATATTTCGGTGATTGTACCGAGGCAAAGTTCGAGAATGAGATTCAACAACAAAGACATGAATATATATACACCTGTATGTCCGTTTTCTTGTTATGAAAACCAGTGCTGCAAAGCCTACCATGATTATGACTTTTATCACCTGAGGTAAAGAAAAGAAATTAGCATGAATTACTTGCAAGTCACGTTTTCAGTTTATACAGAAGTTCATAAGATTTCTAGGTACATATAACATCTGGAAAGGGTAAGGCATACCTTTCCGAAAGGTCCTGCAGAGTCTTGAGGATCCTCCGAATTCTCGGACTGTGGACTTAATCGAGAAGTCTTCCCATCTTCATTTGCCTCAGCAGCAGCGTCAGCATCAGCATCAACCTGAACTTAACAGGCGAATAAAACAGTCTGGTTATGATATTAGAATCATCTGCACTTTTTCTAACACATTTTTTGTTTGTTTGAATTCATTGGTATTGGTCCTTCCAAAAGTTACCTTTGGTGGTACGACTGTTTCGGACTTAACATCATTAGGATGTGAATCCACTGGGATCTCCCTCGTCCGAGATATCGTCGGTGGCGGTTTAGTAGAAGATTTCACATCCTGCATCAGATCAAGTCACAGTAACTTTAACCATATGCTCTAAGTTGCAATAACAAATGGGGAAACTTAAGCCACGCGTTTGACATACCTGATTTAGACCACCCTCAAATGCACTAATCATTTTTCTTATATTGCTATGGGCTTTAACAGCTGGTCCCTTCTTCTTCAAAGTATTAACCTTATGAATAGGATAACTTCTGTCTCGGTCGTCTCCACCGAGATTGGCTTCATCAGCAAGCAATCCACTTCGGAATAAACTTTCTGGCGAACGTTGAGAAAATGAAACGTTCAATGCATCAATAAAAGGCTTGAGGATCAGTACATGCAGGTCTCATGCGCTGCTTGATTTCTTTTCCTTTTATGTTCCATTTTTCTTCAAGTAAATGGAAAATGAAAATCGAGTAAATCAACATCGAACCTGAAACTTCACTATTACCGACTGAAGACCTTTCGGAACTTTGAAGAACACTATTGCGAAGCTCTTCCTGTTTCTTCTTCAGTGCAGTTTCTCTCTGAAAACGAACTTAAAATTCAACTTAATTGTGCTAGTAAAAAGGAATAAGTTTATCAGGATTAAAAACTTAAAGTGGATACCAAGGGGTTGCTATTTATCATACATCGTAATGCAGCTGATAGTATATCGAACATATAAACGAATGTTATCGGAACAATACCATTATCTGGATTCTCCGGTGCTCTTCTTCACTGAGGACAAACTGCAACTTCATATGTATATGGCCGCCTCCTTCGAGAGAAAATATATCGTCCCAAACGCCTTTCTCGACCACCAATCTGGTCTCGACACCTTCCACATGCCATCAATACTTCAAATAAGCCTTACAACTAAAATAAAATTCAATTCTCCAATGCAAGTTAAAAGGAACAGTGAGAAACCTGTATGAGAAATCTCATTTCCCTCAGCATCTTCAAGTGTTATAATCAAATCGTCATGAAGGGTTGTCAACGGACTGTGCAAACATGTTAGATTTAAAATGGAACAGAAGTCAGAGTCAAATTCTAAGACAAAACAAAGAATCAAAACAGTGTTTGGAATCACTACAACGACAGTTCTCCCTTGTCGCAAGTCTGGTACTCTGTTTTTCCCACGGAAACTGCATTATGAAGAATGAAAAACCATACTTAGCATATATCGATATTGCCATTGAAGATAAGAAAAAGTAGGAGAAAGTGTGTTGATAGAATACCTTTTACTGATATCTCAGAAGATGGTGATGATGATTGGAGACCCTTGATATCCAGAACTGGGATGAATCAAATGAGAAATTCTAGAAAACAAGCACATTTTGAATTACAGTTAAGGATAGCATTTGGTACCTGAAACTTTGATGGTTCCTGGCATTTTAAGACCGGAAAAGTAGAGATGATGATAAGGGATAAGGCAGTGACAAATTCTAAAAGTAATATTATAAATTCAATCTGATGATTTTTTAAGGCTAGCATATTAGAACATCTCAGTTGCATCTCCACCAGGTAGAGTTTAGAAGCACAAGGGAATAAGAAAACATGTGGTTAGTTTTGAGGGGAGGGTTATATAATGGACACCACAAATCTAAAAATTTTCATGACTCGTTTCTCTTATCTTTTGTCTCACTTGAGAGCTTAGTTTTAAAAGATGTGGTTGTGTATTTACACATCATTACTAGATTCATGCATTATACAAATAGGAAATGTGTGCAGACTCCTAAACTATCTTCAAAGACGTTTTGCTCCGTGCCCACCTGAGACTAGCGCCATAGGTGCGCTTTTGAAAATAAGCTCAAGAGACAACCAGTCCAGTTCCCTTTTGTTTTCGATAGGTGTGTGATTTTGTTGTTAATCAAAGCAAAAACAAACATTTCACTGCTAAATTACATTGACTAAACTGAATTCTACCACTGTCAGCCAGTCGAGAATATTCAATTACTTTCAAGGAATCAGATGTGAAGAATGTCTTAGTCTAGTGAGTACTGCTGTTAAAATGTAACACAAGTTCTAAACATTCAATCTCACAAGAGATGGGTACCAAAAACCAGAACCCCATCTTTGGCATGTTTTTTTTTAAACCATCCTTGATAGAAACTAGTCCTTCTCTAAAGCAAGAATTTTGTCGAGTACGACGAGACATGTAAATCAAATTCTGGGAAGAGATTCTGCACGAAGAAACTGCTTGAGAACAGCCTTCTCTTTATCGATTCTTTTCTTTCCTCCAGGGTCATTAGGCTTGGCTTTTCTTTTCTCTTCCAATATCCACTTGAAAAGTTCACGCTGCCGGTCTTCGGGAATCGGATCCAAAGCGGGTTTCGGAACAACCGGAAGTATTGGCGGCTCCTCGTGAACTAAGGCATCCGTCACTGCATCGGAAGAAACAGCTGCTTCAGCATCACTCTTGCTGTCTTCCTCTTCTTTAGCAGGTTTGTTATTGGCAATGCTTGTATTCTTCTTTTTCGGGTTTGCAAATATGTATGCTGCGACAGGGGGTGAGAACATCAGCTAATTCCAGAAGATAACTAGTGATAAAGCAAATTGCATATCCCATTGAAATAGTCCATAAACATCAAAATTCATATCAGTTCATAGAATTCAAATGGACGACTGGTACATCGATTATCACTTGTCAAAGTTGCAAACCAATGTAATGCAAAATTCATCCCAGAAACTCTAATCTTCAAGAATGGCAACACTACAAGCAACAATTATCAGCAGCAATAACTTAACAACAACACAAAATGATAGAATCAATGACTCAATACTTCTCTGAATCAATTACCAATTCTAAAAGCTAACACTGATCAAACCGAAAACTCGGTAGCAAATTTTCTCAACCCATTAAAGTAAATCTTCAAAAACATATATTAGACATAGTATCATTCAGCCAAGCAATTCATCAAGCACATTCTAAACTCGATGTAAAAAAAACACTAAAGATTTTGAGAAAGAGCGTCAACCCAGTGTTAAGAAGCTAATATCGGATTAAACAATGCAGATGCCAAATGAAATACCTCCAAGAGCGAGGTTGGAAATCAAGAAGAAACGCCAAATGGGCTTGAAGCGGTTCATGCGGGATTCCTTTGAAGAGAGGGGAGGGGTTTCGTTTTGAGAATGAGATGGTTCCATTTTCCTTTTTCCCGTTGGTTTTTTCTTCCTTGTTTCTTCCTTCTGCTTCTATTGTTCTTGAGGTTGGGATTTTGCTTATGAACCCTATAATCTAATTCCAAAACACATTTGATTTTGGCTCCCAGGCCTGGGAAATAAACGTTAATGTTTTTAACAGATTCAATGGAAATCAGTTGGCTCTGTTGGTTTTTTGATTGTTTGAATGATTCTTGAATCTTCAACTTTGATCAAATGAAAGGCCAAGTGATCCAAGAAGATGTTAATGGGACGGCTCAATTCCAGCCTTTCACTAAGCTACACTCCCTATCAAGCCCATAGATGATGAAGATTTTAATGTTAGAACTAGGGCATATGATTTATAATCTACGAGTTTAGATTCGATTTGATCTTATAGAGTTAATTTTTTTAATAAATAAATAAATTCGATTCGAGTTAAATTCAAGTTTAAGTTAACTAATTGTCAACCAAATCTGAGATAACAATATATATATAATATTATATAATGAAATTGAGAATTATATATTTGTGTTGGTATAGGTTATGTGTAAATTTTTATAAATCGGGTCAAATTTTTGGTTTAATATCAAAACAAGTGTTCAAACTATACCATTTTTTTAAATAAGTGTCTAAATTATTTTTTGATTCATCCAAGTGCCTAACGCTACAAACATTATCCATTCAGATGTTCGGGCTGTCAACGGCGTTAATTTCCCTAGTTAAGTGACACGTGTCACAATCATGTGATTTTGAAATTTATTTTTTTAAATTAAAAATATTATGATATTTATAAAAATACTATCTTTTCTTATATTCTAAAACAGCCCCAAAATCTCAAATCCTAACCTTAAAATGTCGTCGTCGTCCTTTCCGACCACGACCATAGCCATGGACATAGTCCCTACCATCCTCATATTCTTACATTGTCATAGTTCTCGTCGATTGGTCATTAGAATCACGTGGGATCGCGAGGTATAAAACGTTGATTCAGCGTCGATCGACAGTCGGTCAGTCACGATTTCATAGGAGTTTTGGTCGTCGGGGGAAGGGGAGGTCGGGTAGAGCTTTGTCGATGGCAAAAGGTGGCGGCCGACTTGGGTATAGAGGTTGAAATGAAAGTTTTCAAAGTTTTGGGTTTAGTTCAAAATTTGTGTTTTCTTTTTAATATATATATAATTTTAATTTTTAAAATTTTAAATGATTTTTTTAAAAGTACTATGTTGTGACACGTGTCACTTAACGGAGGAATTAACATCTTTGATGGCTCGACCACTAAAATAGGTAACGTTTGTAACGTTAGGCACCGAAATGAGTCAAAAAATATTTTAGACACCTATTTGAGAAAAGTGATATAGTTTAGACACTTATTTTGTTATTAAGCCCAAATTTGAAGTTGAGTGGAACCTTCCTAAATCCATCCGGAATCAAGTGACAAGTAGAGGGATAGAATACTCATCTCACCAAAAATTTGACCAGACCCAAATCATGTCTATCCCAAGCTAAAGTATGCTCTAAATTTGAATTGATTTACATTGTAATTTAAACTGGGGTAACTTACATGTTCGGTAACTAAACTTTACTTTCTCTCTTATGTCATTCATCGTACTTTCAATTTTTTCAATTTACTCACGAAACTTTATAGATTGAATTTTTTTTGTTATTCCACCGTTAAATAATTAACGACGTTATGACATGAACATATTTTAATCGGAACAACGTATTTGTCTAAATTTTTTTTTTTAGGAATTCAAAACGAAGATGTTTTGATGTAAGTTACCATGTCATAATGTTGTTAAATACTTAAAGGCAAGGCGGCGTGTCAAAAAAATTCAATATATAAAGTTCAGTGACTAAATTGAAAAATTAAAAGTACAATTAGTGAAATATGAGAGATATACTAGTAGAATTACTAAACGTGCAATTTACCCTTTAAATTATGAATTTGGATATTTACAAATATTTGTTTTGAAATTTTTGCGAATTCATATAATATTTTGGTTTATATGTTTGAAATTATTCTTACATATTTTCTTTTATTGGATTAAGGAGATTACAAAGTAGTATTTATTTTAAATATTCTCAATTATTTGATAATTAATACTCAATCATCTCTCTTGCAGTGGTGTTCGAATTCGAAAAACCCGAAAAACAATTATTCCTTTAACCACCGAGATAATTGATTCGTGTCGTTGTATATATGAACGGTTGAACCCAACTTTAGTTACGAAATTAGAGAACATGCTTGCTTCTAAAAGGTTCGAAAATTACTCATTTAATTTTTAATACATTCAAATATATATAGTTCTATATATTCGATTTATAATCTAAAATTTTAATTCATAATTTTATAAATTTAAATCACTAATAGATAATAATATTTAATTTAATTTAAATAGTGATAATAAGATAATTTCATATAAAACTGGATTAGAATATTTTAAAATTATAAATATATGATATGATGTCATTCCTACCATATATGATGTGAAAAGACTCACGTACGATAGCCTTAATATATGGCTAAGAAAAGATGTTACCGATTTTGTTATTATTTTTTTAACAAAACCAGTAAAAAATTACCTGAAACATTATTATTTTTAATGGTTTTGTTATTATGGGCCGCTTTACCTATTTTGTTAACATATCCGGTAAAGCGCTACTGGTTTTGTTATTTTTTCTACCGGTTTTGTTATTATTGGGAACTTTATCGGAAATGTTAAAAAACATTAATGTTTTAGGTAGAAATAATAATGTTTTAGTTAATTTTTACCGGTTTTGTTAAAAAAAATAATAACAAAACCGGTATCGCCTTTCTTTATATTAAGAATGCGGCACTGTATGCTAGTGTGAATTCAAATTGAATTATTCGTTAAAAATACATTAATTTAAAGTAAAAAAATAAATTTATATATAATTACTCAAAAAATTATAATTAATTATTAAAATTTAAAATTAATTTAGGCACCAAAACGATCCAAATAGAACTTTAAAAGACCATTTTTTTCTCAGTGATCCTTAAATTTGTGTTGGACCCTAGTCCAATGGGCCTGAACCACATCCAAATGTGCCCAATACCTTTATTGGGCCACGTTTAACAAATTATAATCGGGATTTCAAAGGTCGGATGCGGATTTTTATCTAAAATTCAGGTAGAATGAAATCTTCTTAAATTTAAATTGGATCGAATCAGTTCGATTATCAAATGAAGATATAATATTAAAATCAAATTTTCGATTAATCAAAAACTCGACCCGACATGAGCCATGGATATCCATAGATATACACATAATAAACAACAAGACAGTCAAGGGAACAAAAGCTTTTTGATTTGTCCACTGATGTTAAAGGATTGTCATGATGTTGCGATCCATGCACATCACTTGTGTCGACCTCATACATTAAAAAGGGATAAGGAAACTCTTATGTATGACTTGGAATGATAAACCCATCCTTATCCTTAAAACATGAACATCCTCCTTTTCAAAAAACAACTAAGCATGTCCATGAAAATGTGGGCCTAAATTTACTTTTCAGTGTTGTCTGAATTCAATTTATTCATCGATTAATTCAGATAAATTCTGTAGACGTTTATTTCGGAAACAACCCTTTTAACTTAAACTTTCTCATCTACAACATCGTGATAATATTTTTAACTTTTTTCTAAAAAATGATTATATATTCGATAATCGAAAGTAATCATGTCTGGACACAAATAAATATCGAATACGAATATATTTTGTTACGAGATCATGTATGTAGGTAGCTTTGAACCTTGCCCTACCAATACACTTTCACCCATTCACCAACATGCCTTCACCAAATGGTAGAGATTCTTCTTATCATATCATCTATATATTTAGGGTTTAAAAATTTGAACTTTAGGGTTTTGTGTTTTAAGCTAAAATACTTTATATTTTAGGGTTTAGAATTGTTAAATAGAATGGATAACATTCAAATAGATATGGGTACGGAATACAAATTCCCTTTATTTGTACATCAAATAATCTCCTTTCATTTCAGGGTAAACTATATGGGTAGTATCTCAATTATTATTTTGTTCTGTTTTGATCATCCAACTATTTTTTGTCTCAAAAGCACACCTAATGTTACATTTTAGTTTCATTTTGGTTACCCACATTTAAAAATTAAGGGTAAACTACGAATTTATTATCTAAACTATCAATTTTGGTCATTTTAGTAACTAAACTTTCATTTTTTTTCAAAACCATACCTAACGTTTAGTTTTCATTTCATTTTACTACCCTTATGTTAAAAAGTTAACGCGTTTAGTACCTAGACTATCAATTTTAGTCCGTTTTAGTATCTAAATTTTAATTTTTTTAACGTTAAATTTTGAACAAATATACTAAAATAAACAAGAACTAAAATTTTTAACGGCAGTGTATTAAAATGAAACAAAACCCAAACTTCATGCATAATTTTAAAAAAAGTTAAAAGTTTAGAGACTAAAATAGATTTAAACTGATAGTTTAAGTGTTAAATACTTAATTAACCTGAAAATTAATAATGATGTTTACATATAATTATAAAATAATATCGCATCATGATTGATTTAAAATAATAAGTGTTAAACACTTATAGGTGAGTTATTGGAGATTGAGATACTGCACATAGTACCCATGTTTGTTGTGACAGGTCCCAGGTGGCACACGACCAACAACTTGGGTGGCTAAGGTCTGGTCCCCAACCAGCAGTAAACCTAATGGGTTGGAGCCCAGTTACTTGTTAAGGGAAGCTTGTAGGGATAAATTTAGGTCAAAGGGTGCAATAAAAATGCAGCACAACTGGAGGTGATTGAACAAATGAATATGCAGTGGTTTCAATGCATGTAAAGCTGTATTTATTACAACCATAACTAACCGTGCATGGTAGGAACATCTTACTATTTTACTTCGGTTTTATTCACGATACGACCCTTAAACTATACTCGTGTTTCCACTTTCGTACTTGAATATTTTGTCTCGTGCTCTTGTCCGTAACTTTTTTTTTAGGCGAAATAAGATCTAAAGCGA